ATATATATATATAAACAGAAACAATGGCCAAAGAACTACAACAGTTGAGCTATTCAAAATGATCAAATAAGCAAATGTCAATGGAGAACCCCAGTTGCATTTGTTTAAGTGGAATTTGCTAGTAATATAGTAGAAAATACTTCCAATGTATATATTGCATCTATTATAAGGTTGATAGAAATAACAAAAAAGTCTCTTAAAAACAAGAAACATAAAAACAATGGAAATTCTAACTTGAGAAGAGAAAGAAAACTAAAAATTCTAAACCAAAATGAACTGCTAAATTTCAGAAACACACTCAAGCAAAAGCCATTATCCATTAACGTAATTAATAATAAAAGCCCAAAACCCATTAGGGCTTTCATGTTCCAGCTTCTTTACTCCATTAGGGCTTTCACTCCAACAAACAAGAAAAGCCAAAAACCCAAAGCAACGTAATGTAAATTCAAGTAGACAAAGTTCAAAGTCCAAAGTTTTTCAATTTTCCAAATTCAAAAACCTCAATCGAAATACAGAATTTCACGGAGAATCCAAAATTGGCTATAATCCTATAAATACGATCAAAAGTCTCAATCTTCATCAATGATTAAGAATTCAACTAAATAACTACAACCCATAAATCTTAATCGAAACAATGTAAATGGCGTTGTGTAGAGAGAGAAAGAGAGAATGAGAGAAAAAGACCAGAACTGAGGAAATCCAAGAAGGCGCGAACAATGCGTCGAGAGGTGGGAGAATCCATTCTGAGGTTCGCCATGGAAGAGAGAGAAAGATAGAAGAGGGACTAGGCTTCCAACGGAGAATGACTACGGTCAACTGCGCATGATGAGAGCGTGCGCCACCGCGGCGTAGCCTAGAGAGGAGCCGCTTTTTTTTTTTTTTTTATTCCTTTCCTTCCTCGCGGTGTTATGGACAATCACTATCTGTACGAGATCTTTTTTTTTAGAAACTTTATTATTATTTTTTTATTCCGTTCCTTCCTCGCGGCGTTTCTCAATTTTTTTTTACATAATAACCCCAATTTTTTTAATTTTGACAAATTATACTTTGAATTTCAAAATTAGTAGTAATTGATGTTCAATATCTAACAGACTAACTCCATTAGCAAATTAATGTTTTAAGACACAAGAGCCGTACATGAAAAATAAATCTCGTCATTTTTCAAATGTTAATTTAATAATGCTTGTTAACTATTACACATCAATTGCTATTAATATTAAACTTGAAGATACAATTTGCTAAAATTAAAACTTTAGAATGTATTATACAAAGTCTACGTGTTTTTTTTAGTTGAATGAAATTTGAGTAATCTTGATAAATACTTTTTAAAAGTGCATGAGTTATAGTTTTTATCTTTTACTCTTGATTCATAACTTTTTTAGTCAAATAATTACACTAATAAAATAATATTTATAAAAAATAAGGGGTAAAGGTTCATATTCATACACTCTCAATAATAAATTCTCTATTTTTTGATGAAAAAATTTTACTTAAAAAAACCAAGTGCTTTTTGGTTGCTTATCTCCTTTATTATTTATCTTTTTTCAGGAAAAAAGAAAAAAATTAAGGAAAAAAAAAGTATACTTTGAAATTTATGCATGCTTGATGTTGATTTTAATTTATTTGGATTTATTTTTAGGGGAAAAATTGTGAAACTAATAGCAATGTATTTAAGACTCATTTGACGTTTATTATCTCAATGATTGGAACACGTTATTATATCTCTTTTATGTCATGCACTTATGATGTTTAAAAGAAAGTTTTTGTTCTATAATGTGAAAAATCATGAATTTATTTCATACATTTCCAAAAATAGAAAATCCTAATTGGAGCTTATAGGGTGTATTATGGAGGTGTTGGTAAGGAGTGTAGCTGCCAATGATCAACGACGGACCCCACCCGATATTTTGAAAAGCTTAATTCTCGTTTAGTTCGCTGATTTGAGTTGAGTTGTGACTTTATGTAAGAGTTTTTAAATGTATTAAAAAAGTTAGATGTGACTTTTTGTGATAATTTTTAACTGTAACAAAATTAAAATTAAAAACTCAAATCGGTAAAATAAATAAGGCCTTAATGTGAATGCTTCTTTAGTTTCAAACCTGCATGAAATTAGAATTTGGTGGAATTAATTATTACCACACAGGTTTTACGCTGGGTTGTTTTTTGAAGAATGTTGTCGGTTATTTCGGCATCACAACGACCGAATGTCTGGCTATTAGTGGTTGCTTTTCCTCCCCATTGGGTGGTGGTGGGTTGTCGTTCTCATATTTGAATTGGTATTTTAGTTTGGTTTTGGTAAATTCGTTTTTCTTGATGTTTACATATTAGATCTGGGTTGGTTTTTGTTTTGACTTTAGTACATTTGTTTTTCTTGATGTTTGAATATTAAATCTGGTTTGGTTTTAATTTTGATTTTGATTTCAATATATCTGTTTTCTTGATGTTTTTCAGACCTGTGTTTCTTGATTCTACTAGAACTTAATTGTTTTTCTAAATTTTGTTTATGTTTGCAGATTAGAGGAGGAATATGATGGAATTAAGGATTTTAGTTTTTATTTTTTTTCTATTTTATGGTATTTTAAAAATATTTTTAATATGTTTGTTAAAAAAAAAATTATGGACAAGTTAAGTAGAAGGGTAGAAATGACATTTCACATCTAAAGAAAGTCTCTAATGTACTAAAAAATGATTTTTTAAATTCAAAATTATCAAAAACAAGATACTAAAAACAGATTATCTAAAACACATGGTACAAATATGATATTTTTCCATTGAAATAAGTAACTAATTATTGACAAATAATTTATTAAATTGATAAGCAAATATGTTGTTTACTTTAATTATTTTAAAATATGATATTTACTTTTAAAAAAAATAAAAACTAAGCTATTTATTATCCTTTTTAGGTATACTTGACAAGGTGATTGATTTCTTCATTTTAGGTACCTCTTACTTTCTTTTGTATAGGATGAATTATTAAACAAGCAGTCCTAAATAATGCAATAAAGACGCAAAATAATTATAACGAGCATATTAAATAAAAGATCTTCTTCTTCCTTATTTATAATACTAGTGGTGTGCATATTGAGATCTAAATCTATTGATATTAGATGCAATACTGCTCGGAAGAAGTAAACTTTCACTTTGTAAATTTTACTTTTAAGAGTTTCCCTTTTGATGAAGCAGTGAGTGCTTGCGCTTCCTTTGCGGGTAAGAATGCAAACGGTAATGGCTCATCACTCAAAGCCAAACGCTTTGTCCCATAGGTTCTGAATGAAAGGAAAAAGAAGGACAATGTGAATAAAACGGTAGCTTCCATTTATGTTATTTTTGAGATTTGTGTGTAGAAATGACTACAACAAAGATTGTGGGCGTGTTTAGAACTCATTCTAAAATGATTTTATTTTTTGTATGAAAATGAAAATGAAAACGTTTTCAATCTCAGATAGAAATCATTTTTAAAAATGCGTTTGGTAGTTTTATTAATATATTATTTTCAGTATAAAAAACTCATTAATGTCTCTCTCTGCTCTCGAGAAGAGAAAACGAAAACAAAAAATGAATTCATTTCTCTCTCATTTTACACTAAATTAAAAAATTATTTTTATTTCCGTTTTTTGTCTTTATTGTGCTAAACGCCGTTTTAAAAACGTTTTCATTTTCTTTTTAAAAAATGTAAAAAATAAAAACGGGATCAATTACAAACACGGTCTGTATTTATAGAGAATTAAAGTTTAGTAACTACTTTTTTTCTTTTTTTTTTTTTTTGACATCACAGAGTGACAAAATAATAGGAGTAGCCAAGCGTGCCATGACAACATATTGTCATATCAGTTCACTCTTAAATCAGTAGAGATCATAGAGAAAGGGATAGGGATGAGAGTCAGATTCCCTATACTAGCTAGATTTTTTTAGTGACGTTAATCTCAAACGGTAAAAATGAGTTTCTCCATATAGTTTGTTTCAGCCATTATTTTTTAACCTCTTCAATGGATTTGTTTTTGAAAAAGTCATTTTCTAGTAATTGAATCTGTCGCCTTTCGTTAAATTTCGGGTGAAATCAAATCATGTTTTCCCTTTAAGATATTTCAAAGCTCCTTCCCTTCTTAAGCTTCAATTTTTTTTTCAACAAAAAAAAAAAAAAAATCAAACCCTGAATTCCAAGTTTCAAAAATAAAAAAAAAAAAAAAAACAGAGAGAGAGAAAAGTATATGATTTGTCATGATTTTTCACAGTTTATTATTTATATATTTTTAAATAATTGAGTGTCATTATAACTTTTTATTTTTTCTTTATTAATTAAATGTTAATTCTTTATTTTTGACTGGAGTGACATAAATAATATTATTTGTACCATTTTGAGTGGTATTTCTGATTTTTTCCTTTAAAAAACCGCACAATTGACTTGAATTTTCGAGCAAAAATTGTATGCTTCCTGCCATTGTGAGGTTTCTATTTCTAGATTAAGTCAGAAGAATGTAAAGAATGGCAATATTTTTTTTCAAGATTTACTCGCTATCTTTTGCTCTCTTTTCTCTGTTTTTTTTTTTTTTTTTTAGATATAGAGATTTTCAAATTAACTTAAATTTTTTTTTTTATTTTCAGAATTGGTTTGTGTGTTTTCTGATAAACTGTATTCAACAATTGTTCTAAATGCTTTAGATGAATAAACTTATGGTTATTTGCACTCTCATTTGGTCTTCCATATTTTTTGGAAATTTGTTTGTCCAAATTTTGCTTATTTTTCAACTTTTTAGTACCTTTCTATTTCTAAGTTGTTCTTGATATTGTTCATGATGGGGAGGCATTAAATTATGCATGTTATGCTTGTTTGTACTCAAATATGGTTTTTCGAGTTTTGGTGAATTTTTGTCTTCTCACCTTTTCAATTTTCTTGCGCTTTTCAAATGTTGTTCTTGGTATTGTTTAGGACTGTCTTGTGTACAAATGGTCAAATGCTTTATGAGACGTGGGGATTCAGGCCCTGATTCACGTCCTCTTAGTTGTTTCAATTTATGCGTGTTTACGTCCAAATTTGTTTTCCATAAGAAATAATTTTTTTTTTAATTTAAGAAATTAGATCCAAATATAAATTAATTTCGCTACACTTTTATTAAAAAAAAACGCTGTAGTAACAGTAATTTAAGTTTATGAAAGATCTGTACAAAAATTTGTGTGAAAAGTACGTCGTTTTTTTTCCCCTGCAGTGAGTGAGACAAAATGGACTGCTTGCAAGGTTATAATTTTTGTTTTTTTTTTTAAAAGACAACAAAAAGAGACAAAATTATAGAAGTCGGCAAGTGAACCATGTCAATATATTGTCATAGGTTCGTTTCACTCTTTTTTATATCAGCAATGCTATGTTTGATAGGTGATGGAAAATAAAAAGGATGGATAAGTAAAATATTTTAGTAAAAGAAGTAAAATGATAAAGAAGATGTTTGGTAGAAGAGAAAGAAAAATGAAAAAAATACTTAATTTGAATTATTTTATAATAATATAAAAATATGGTGAATAATTTAAGGTTATAATAATTATTTTATATCTTTTTTGTTTCTTAAATTTTTTCTTTCATTTTTTTTTTCTTAAAGTTAAAAAGAATGAAAAATAGTGGGCCTTATAAATTTACAATTTTTTTTTCTCGTTTCTTTCGTACCAAACAACTTAAAATTTTCTTTTACTCTCTAAAATATTTCCTTCAATTTCTTTTATCTCTCTTTTCCACTCTACTAAACATAGTGTAAGAGATAGTAGATAAAAAACAAGAGATGGAGATGAGGATTATATATTCCCGATACTAACTAGATTTTTTGGACAGTTTAAAAAAAGTTTTAATCTCAAATAATAAAATGACTTTCCCCGTACAGTTTATTTAGACACGTTTTTAACCTGTACTTCTAGCTAGTTTTCT